TGTAATACTTGAGGACCAAACACATAATATATTGTATGTCTGCTAATCCTTGTTAGGTGTGTTTGGGTATAGGTTAGGAATCAGCTACAGATTCATCCTTTTGTGCACAGTACATATCTTGACATCAGAGGTGTCCTGCAAACTGTTGTTTGAGGTTATGCCTGTACTGCATTGTGTAGCCATGCTGTCATTTCCAGGCGAAGTGTCCTGTGCAGAAGTAGGAGGCTCAGAAGAGGGACAACCTGGGAGTGGGCACTTGAATTCCCTCTTCTGTACAATGACTCTTGAGGAAACTTCAGCAACTGACTGGTCTGTTAATCAGCTGGCATCTCTAAATTGTCACCTCTGTAGAAACAGGGGGGTGTTCCTTCTCTGTTTCATTGCAAAGTTAAACGGGTTGGTTACTGTGATCTGGTGAGAAGCGAATCTGTCAATTGCTACTTCCCAGCTGACAAGCTCACTTGACTAACCTCGAGGCAAGTACAAAGGCTGGGAGAGGAGGACAGGTATCACCTGATGTGGTATCTGTCCTGCAGAAGTGGTTCAACTAACTTCCCAATTCTGTGGCCAGGTGTAGCTTAGAGTGTGGAAAAATATGCCAACCTGACCTGTCCTTCAGGTGTAACTCAGCATAAACACCACAGCTGATCCAAATTAATGTCTCATTCTGGTTGATGACGTTTTTCCCCTCTGAATTTCCTCCGCAGTTTCACTTGTGTGGAGTACAAGTTCATGTCCTATGATCTGTGCTGTGGGAGTGTGCATCTTTAGGCAGTTGCTGTGCTCTGTTTCAGGGGTACCTGCCCTTTAGCGGTGTATGAAGAATTCTGCTTGCCAAGGCTCCATGACCTTTGGACCAAAGGTATTATTTAAATAATTGGTGGTGTTTAATTGTTAGTAAAAGAGCAGTTTCTGGGTGTTACAGTAAAGTGACCCCAGAATCATAGAGAAAGTCATAGTTTTCCTGAATATCTTAGATATAATAAAAGGATGTTACTGAAAGAGGGGATGAGTGGGAAGGAAAAAAAAATGCACTCAGAAATCAAAAAATAGTGAGACAGAGGCATTGTTTTTTAATGTACTAACAACATAATTAAAAAACAAGCCTAGAATTTTGAAATGTAACTTGGAGTAAAAGATCGGTCTAAAAGAATGAGCAATAGAAAAGGTTTAGCAATTGATTAAAACAGTGCCACATTCTAACTGGAGAAGCACATAGGAAACACAAGTTGCCTGGGTAATGATGTGTTTTTAAAATGTGTCCCTTGTTAGATATTTATGTGCTTGTATGGCTTAGTATTTGGGTGGAGGGCATCCTAGAATTCTCTGACCTTGCCACATTAAGGGAATTTTCCGAAGCTCTGATTTCCTTTGATAATTCTTGTTCAAATCAACCTGTGCTTTCAACATGGGAGAAGGCTGGTAAATGCATTTTTAGCAGGATTTCATTTAGAAGTCTCTAGGATAGCTTTCAGGTCAGCAGTGGAAAGTCTTAGTCACAGGTGTCCTGTCTCCAGAAGGCTCAAAGCACTGCTCATGAAGCTACACAGTGTTGCACAGTGTGGAAATTTTAGAAAAATTTCCTACACTAGAAAAGTCAAAAGACTAGGTTACTAGTTCAGTGGCCAGTTTTGTTTTGAGTTCATCATGAAACATGGGGGAGGAGAGTCTTCCCATAGAAGATATATACCTGATATAACAAACAAATTAATTGCATGTAAGAACATGTAAGAAAGGAATACTTTGAAAGGAACTGGAGGGCAGTGAAGGAACTGTCAAAAAGCACAGATTTGACAGAGTGTTTCAAAAGACGACGACGACATCCAAAAATGAAAACAGGAAAAAAGAGCAAATTAAAACCCAGGCAAGCATATGACATACAAAGCTCTTGTTTACTCCAAGACCTTCACGCTTCACTGTGCGTATTGGGTTTTCACATGCTGGATTGGGAGGAACAAGAAAGAGAAAGAAAGCACAAGCCAATCTCAAAATAAGTCACACAGGGCTTTTTGGCAATTGCCCTCGAAAGTGAAGGGAGTGAAGCTTCTCTTTTTCCCAAACATCAACCTTAGAGTCCTTCAGGGAAGGAATCCCACTGTATTCAGCCAGGTGGGAGCTGGCCCATGACTTTTCTCAGACTGGTTTGGGCCAAAACAAAGCAGTCATTAATAGGGCCAGTAAAGTGCATGCACTCATACGGTTTCTTCTCCTTTCAGTGGTTGGATTGCAGAAATAGTAAATAAAGGGTTGAGTACGACTACTGACTGCATACTCACATAATTTCAATTAATATACTTCTCCATTTTTCATCTCTGACATCCACACATGATTTGTAATTGAGTCATGGGGACACCTCCATAAATGGCTGACAAAGCCTCAAAAGGCAAGAAAGATGCACCACATAGCACTAGCACCACATAGCACTAGCCTTATTTAGTAAGGGGAAATTATTACCACCCCATGGACTGACCTCACATAATTCTGGATGTCGGAGATAATTTTTAAGCCCTGGGTCTTCAAAGCGCTCCCATCTCATCAGTTACCACTGGCATCGTGAAAAAGTGCCACTTCCACAGCTGGATGCAGCCAGCATGTGAAGAGGAAAACTGTACGACCATACAGAGACACACGATGCTCTGAAGCAGAGCAGAGTGCTCATGCACTGGGCCACGGTCACAAAGAGGGCAGTTTGGTCTGCACCATTTGCCAGCAGTGGGCTGTACCCTGAAGCAAAGTCTATCTTTCCTCTCCTACCTACCCCCTTTGACTGCTAAACAATTCTGGGATGTAACAAGACTTTCAATGGCCTGCAGATATTAAAGAGAATTGAGCACAGAATTTGTATTGAATATGCTAAAGAAACAGTGTAAGTAGCCAACAAAGAGACTATGTAATTCTCCTTCCTCCCCTCAGTCTTCTGGACACTGGCTCAAAGGATTAGGATTTGCTGGTTAAAGGCATCTTGTAAAAAAGGGGAAGAGAATCTGCTTGCAGCACTGAAGTTTTAGTGGCCCATTTCATGATTCAGCAACTCTGTATAAAGCAGCTCACTAAGAGAAGCAGCTTATCACACTCAGTAACCTCTCTCTGCAGCGAATGCGAGTGTACACCCCTCTGCACACTCACAGATCCTTCTTCACACAGCCATCCCTGGCAACATGCCTTCTCCTGGAAGACAGCAGCCAGGAAACTATGTAGGATATTTGAGATTTCTGTCCTCAGACCTCCAAATCCAATCCGTAAAGAAAGACAAGCGGTTCTGTCTGGTATTTTGGCCTGGGTTTTATTTCTCGCTCTTACTCTTATTTTCAGTTCTGGTTTTGGTCTTTGCTGCTGTGAGACAGTCATTGCAAAACATGCCTAGCTATAGCAGTAAACTCTCTCTACTGCACTTATGTTTCCAGTTGCTGAATTGTTTTAATTTCTTCTCTTACACACCTGCACTAGATCAAAAAAATAGGGCTATCCTTTTTATTTTTTCTTGACTGGAAGCAAAAATCCTTATTCACAGGAGGGAAATATGACTGCTGAGAAGGAGTTTCTGTAGTTTTCAGTGGCTTGGCACAGGCAATTTTATTTAGGCAATCAGTTGTGTGGTTAATTCAGTGAGGCCCAGCCTAGAAGGAAAACCCCTTGATAAACATACATTATGTGGTATGTCAGCTGGAGCAGAAAGAGAATGAGTTCTGCCTACAACAGTGGATTCTGCACAAGCTCTCCCTCCTCTTCTGCTATGACAGATGGATCACAAAGAAAATTATCTATACCCTCTGAGACATTTGGGCTTCTTTCTCCTCTTTCTTAAGAAAAGGCAGGATGAATCTGATCTGGAAAAAGTATCATTCACATTTCTGTACATTACAATACAGACACGAAAAACATGTCGGCAGACTGAGGGGAATTCTGTACTAGACAGAAGAGACTCTTGCTCCCAGAGACCTGGGGTAAATGTAAAGACACAAGTGTACCAGCTTAAAATAGAACATGACAAAAAATAGGAAACCATCAGGAAGCTGTACTACCAGTCAGGACAGCAGACAGCAATCTCACTGGTTTTAAGTAGTATGGGAGCTGGAGGGGTTTTACAACTGCTCCAGCAAAAGAAGGTTCTTTGGAGATGTTTAAAAGAGGAGAGTGAAGGGCCTTGGCAGGGGTCATGTGGAGGCTTCTCCCAAATACGTGGAAAAAGCACAGGAAAAACACAAAGGTGCTCCTAAAATGCAAACCAGCAACCGCAGGCCAGTCAGAGGCAAGTGCTGTTCTCTCACTGGTGCATGGGAATGACATTTGGCTGATTACCAGGATTATAGGCCCTTATACCACATGAACCCAAGAAGCCATAGAAGTGTTTTGCTTATGAGATGCATCATAGAGGTTTTTTTCTTTTTTTTCTAAACAGATACCATTTTTTCTTGACCACAAATTACGTGCTGTTTAGTCTCAGCTCTTTAAACCATATAGGATTTCTCTCAGTTATCTTTTACTGTCATGAAGGATAGGTTCCTGTTACAAAACTGAAGGTCACACCCTTCATCGCTTCTGGTAGCTGACATCATTGTGCCATCTCCCTCACCTCGTCCTTCTGTGTCACCCTCTCCTCCCCCTCTACTTTCAGTTCCCTCATCTTCTTCCCCACACAGTCAGGCCCAAGCATGCTCCCCATTCCTCTTTCCTCCACACCAGGCATTTTAGGTACTCAAACTGTCCTTTGCACCCTGGTGGCTCTGTGTTCCTACCATGGCATACCCTGTCTTCAGTAATCTTGCAGTAACCTGCTCTGTAAACCAGAGATCTGTCACGGCATGCTTCTTGTTGCTAAAGGGGGTGAAGCACACAGAAGGTCTTGCACCAGTCCATGGGAAAAGGTGAGATTAACTTTCTCAATAGTCTCTCTCTTGCTAAAACCTCTTGTTTTACCACTTCTTTGGGAGTAGTGGAGAAGGTACTGGAGTGTTTTCAACCTCTAACATATTTCTGTCATTCCTCCTTCTTACAGTGTCATGGAAGTCTGCATATTCTTCCTTTATGCTATGATACTTCTCCCAGGTAAAAGGCACATTTTTAATTGTAAAAACTGTTTTGATTATTTGTGTCCTGCTATGTGATAGTTTCTCATCCACTAAGAAGCTCATTCCTTAGTAGTAATTAATCATTTCTGTTGCACAATTAAGGTCATATAGCCAATGTGACATACATCTAAATTGTGTGCAGGAACTCTATAAAATATATAGTAAGTACTTTCTCTCTTCATGTTTATATCTTTACATTACACTTACTTTATGTTGCTCTTAAATTTTCAATTTAAACCTTTAAAATGTGCGTATACCACCTCTGTATATCATAGAGCAGAGCAGTATTACCCTGAAAACTGACAGTTTAATATGAGACAAACGGAGTTTTAGGCAGCCATGGAGATCATTTTGCAGTCAGGTGCTCTGGAGGAGCGGTCAAAACTCTCACCAGGAGAGAGACTGTAAATCTTCTCCTTCTTTTGAACATAGCAGAGCTGTTTGTATCTTCTGGGACAGAAGACTGCATTTCTTATTCCAAGAAAAGACAGTCCTCCCAGCCTAACACCACCTGTAATAATGGCTACATGCATTGATGAAAGCGGGAGAAAAATCATCCTTTATGTAATACAGTTCATGCTTTCTTTACATGAAGGCATAATTGTGTTTATTGACTATTTCCATTAACAAGATCAGCAACAAAACAGTTAAATTTGACATTCAATCTACTCTAGATTAATTACAGAACAGTTAAATCTGACATTTAATTTGTCATTAAACTTTACAGTAATTCTTCAGTGAGACTGAACATGTTCAGCTGTTTCTGACCTTGAGGTCATACAGTCCCTAGACACCAACCTTTACCACACAGTATTCACTTTACACATCTTTCACTGCAATGCTGTGTTACTTTATTAGAAGAATAAACTCAACTTCTTAAAAAGAAATTGTGCAACTGTCTCCTTTGTGGCAGAGTCTCACTACACTCAGCACGCTACATACAAGAATAGTTTGGACCTCTTGCCTGCATAGAAGTCTAAAATATAGACGCTCGCAACCTCTGGGTGGTAGGCCTTCCTTGGAAACTAAAATACAGGAAGAAAAATAAGAAATACTTTTATGACTTGAACTCCACAAGATTAAGTGAGTCTGAAGAACTATGGAGAATTCGTGTCTAAATGCTGGCATTTTTATTGCTTCTGTCATTAAGTGTTGCCTTGTGAGTGCAAATACTTGGTGATCTTTTGTAGCTGATGGAAATCTTATTTTTTTCTGTCTCTTTGTCCAAGGTATTGCTGCCAGTGTGCCTAAGGTGGAGTCATTTCTCAATCACACTGCATACCTATCCTGCTATTTTCCAAACTCTCACAAAACTGACATAAAGGATATAATAGTTTTTTGGCAAAAAGGGGCTGTTGAAGTGGTGCACGAAGTATACTATGGACAAGAAAAACATGATAACCTTAGTCCTAAGTATATAAATCGCACCAAGATGGATATGGACAAATGGACCTTGCAATTGTTAAATGTAGGAATTGTGGACGAGGGACAGTATACATGTATCATACAGCACAGAGATAAAGGATCGCCAAAGGTCATACACACATCCGAGTGCTTACTGCACATCATTGGTAAGTAATCTCTTCTAACTGTCATCTGGTCTGGAATTTTTTGGGGAGGGTTCTCTGTCACACTGTTCAGTCCAGAAATGCATGGTACTGTCCCCAAGCCACTGAAGATGTACTTGCACTGGAGCAGAATTTCTAAAGATGGATAAGAGCATTCTCAATAGAAAATCCTCAGCTCTGAATGAAAAGTACTCAGGTGGAAGCAATCAGAAGTAGTAAAAAACGAGGTAGTAATTTCTCAGTATCACATCATTCCTGATTTCCATTCTGTCATACTTTATAGTGAAAACCATTCTGCCTTCCTCCTCCTGACTCCTGCAAGTTTTATTGCTTTTAGGACTCTGCAAAATACACTGCTTTATTTGCATCTGATGCACTCCCTTCTATTAAAAGCAGTAATAGTTAGCTTCGTTGGTGGTAAATTACAATTGAAACATAACAAGATTTCTGCAAACACCCAGCTATTTTATGATGATATAAATTGCAGGGGAAATAGAGAAAAGAGCAGCTCATATGTGGAGGAGTAGAAATTCGTATGTTCAGTTAAAGTAAGACTGAAAATATCTCTGAAGAAAAAACACAGACATTGGTGAGATTCAACCTGATCTCTTGCATGTTATCAGAGGAAAAGGGATTCAGTGAGGAAGCAATCTTTTCCTAATATTTTCTAATATTTTTAGTAATTCCTAGTATCTTTTCCTAATGTTTTTCTGTTTTAAACTGTTCTGCTAGTAACCTTTTGTCGGTATGCCTGTGTTCTCTCTTCCACTATGATAGTGCTAGTCATTAATAAGAACAGCTTCTAACTTCCACTGGTGTTTTCAGGCTTCAAAAATGCTTCAAAAGAGAACAGGCCACGTGTACCAGCAGCCAAAAACAGGGTACCAAGATGTCTGAGCCTATTTAGCTTCATGCTACCAGCAAGTGTTCCCTGAATTCACAGATAGAGAAGCTAGATTGTTAATTTTGATTCTCCCAGAATCTACATAATAAGCATTTTCAGCAAAGCTTTAGAACTCAGGCACTCGTAATGTGCACTCAGTATCAGCGCCTCCAATTTAAAAGATGCTTAGCATCAACTGTTCAGTTAATTCAAGCAGTTAAATCAGCTGAGCCAACACCTGAGCAATGTGTTACAGAAGTCTCATACTTAGGCACTAAAACTCTCACAGACCTTTTAAGGTTTAACTTAGGAAGACTTAAACCATTTGCTGCTGTCTTCCTTCCAAATGACTTTCTGTTCAATAAGCTCCCAAAGGAAGAAGCAGTATAAAATCTTATTTTTAAACAAACCTTAAAAATAACTAGGAGAAAAACACAAATGTTGAAATGTACTTGTGCTTACTTGCTGTTTCTTTGTTAGAATCCAATGTCATATGTGGAGGGTTTTTCGTAGTATGGGATGTCACATTTAAAATGGACATAAGACAGACTGAGTGCTGTACAAGAATGATAGGGCAGTCATACAAAGTGATCTACCTCACTTGGTGACCAAGCGCATTCAGAAATACTGAAGTACCTTCTAATACAGTTTACATGTGTTATTTATATGTATTACATTAGGAAAATATATAGATAGATATATGTATATTATAAGTATTTTGTAAAACCAGGACGATTTATAAGAACAATGAGCACAGATCGTTCTCCAGAAAGAAGGGAAGGCTTCACAATGGAAAGCTTTGGCTCTTAAAACAGGTAAAGTAGAGACTATGGTGACAAGCAGCTTAACTGGAAATTCTGCTGCTATAGCATGGCTCTAGTGCTTCCTTTGGATGGATCAGTAAGGGAAGTAGGTGAGACTAGGGAAGCTATTTCAAAATATGCGCTATTCAAAGACTTGGGAGTGAAACTGATGTCAGAATAGAGACTTAACAGTTTGTGTCCTCATTTTAAAGGGGATGTTGAAAAAGTTTAAAGCATGAAGAAAAGCTCTGCTAGAGTTATCTGAAGGCTGAAAAAAATACAGTCCAACTGGAGACATTAAAATATTGATCTGATTAGCTTATAACACAGACGACTGAGAAGAGTCTTGTTTTCAGAGTGTGGGAATCTGAAATACACATAAAATACTGGATATTTTAAAAAAGGCTAATTAATTCAGTGAAGATATAGAAACAGTCAGTGGCTGAAGCAAGTGAGAAGGCATATTGTCACTTTAGAAAATAGAACAAAAAAACAGAGTGATTAAGCCATTGAGAAAAATATTAAGGGCTTGATGGATCTGCTGTCTCTGAGGTATTTAAATCTAAGCCCATAGCCTTTTTGGAAGACATGTTATCTTTAAATACAAAAGACTTCGTGAAATGTGTTTTTCTATTAACAATCCAAAGCTCACATACATATAGCCCTCACCCTGCATGCAACCAACATCACTTTTCAGTAAATTGAGGTTCCAGAAGCCATAAAAACAGAAGTGCTTTGATCAGAGTATATTCTACTATTTCCAGTTGTTTACTGTCAATAAGATTGAAACTCTTAAATCACTTGGATGATTTGGCAAGTTTCACAGCCACGGATTACATTCCTGCCCTCCCTATAAAATGCCAAGGAGAGAATAAATACTTCAGACCAGAAGCTGGAGTGAGCAGCCAGCTAAGCAGGTCAGACTTCGAGGAGAAAGAGGAAGCTTGTGCTCTCCCAAGGGACAAATTTTAACTAAATTTTGGGGTGTGAAAAAGGTGGGGCTTTTTCCATTTTGAATTCATAGCCATGGACTCTCCTGGGGGTTTGACTAAGCTAAATCCTTCTCTCTGTGTGTTGTCATACAGCAAATAAAAGCAACATCATGTTTCTTCGTCTGTCCGTATTAAGAATTCACTGGGGCAAGGGTTAGAGCCTGAATCAAACACTTTGAGTGTGTGCAGAACAGTCAGACCCTCTTAGGCTCATATCTTTCTAAGATTCCTTTTCCCCTTCTTCAATATTTCTCCTTATTGTCTTTTGTCCTATTGGCACTAAAATAATGAAGTATTTTCAATGAAGCCTTGAGTCAGTTTCCTAGTTTTTGTTGGGTTTTATTTGTTTGGGTTTTTTTAACTTGCTGTATGCCAATGCAGTCAGTATTACGTCTACATCCTCTTCTTCTCCTTTTCCATTATAGTCTACTATTTCTACTATGACCTTTTAACCAAAGAAATCCTGGTTGAGAAAAGCTTCCATTTATCATTAATATTTCATGTTTAATCTCTTTCCAATGCTGTTTCACTAATTCTTGCCTGGAAAACTTGACTTTCTAAAGCAACAAGTATGTTTTTCATTGACTGGGATGAGTATCCAATGACACAAAGTAAAAGAACTTGTACTGTGGCCACTTCGACATAAAACGCTGAGCTAAGGGGGCCTACTATCAAGTTAAGATGAGTGAATTACTTTATATGCTGCAAAATGATTACTTATAATACTGACATACATGAAGGATATTTCTACCTATGACAGCACTGGGCCTCCAACTTACCCCATCTGAAGTCCCTCAGCTGACTTCTTTCTCTCCATTTCACAGTCAGAAATTTGTGGTTTTCCCTTTACTTAATCAGGATGAGAAGAGTAGGCAGCATTGTGTCCCATTCCCATTTCGTGCTTTATGTACTAACGTGCAAGCAGGACAGGTTTGATTATTCTGAGGTGTCAATGGATCTAAAGGAGATGGAAGAGACAGAGCCCCATTGTCTGGCTGGTCAGACTTACGTCCTTGAAATGCCCAGAGGACAAGGAGCAGCGAGTCTATATATGTATCAAAAACATAACAAACCCTTCTTGGGACTCCCATTGTTTTCCTGGGAAAATTGTTTAGACTTGCTTCTGCCTGAAAATCTTAAATAATTGCCAGGAATCTAGGAACTGTCACAAGATGCAGTATGTCTGACTCATGACGCTTTCTCTTTGGTCTGTTTCAGCCAACTATAGTCAACCTGAGATAGCATGGCTGCACACTGGGGAACTAAAGCCCAACGAATACTTGAATCTTTCCTGTTCTTCCAGCGGAGGTTATCCACAGCCCAAGCAGTTGACTTGGCTAATTTCACATGGAAACAAAACACGCAGGTCTATGGGTCACATGGATGTCTCACAGGATGCTGTAACAAAGCTGTACAATGTTACTAGCAAGCTGAATACCACAGTTCCTATAAACACCCCCACTAACATTAGCTGCTTGCTTCACCTTGGAGAGCAGCTGGGGAGCCTTGTCTCAGTGCCACTAGCCATAGGTGAGTCTCCATTTGCCCATTCCAATTTTTGCACAGATAGGAGCAGGGCACATTGCAGTAGAGCTGATCACAGACAGCAGCATAGTCAGGGCAGGGAATAAACCCTAAGTAGCAGTAGGAGTTGGTTACAAGGGTTGTATGTTCTCCATCCTGTTAACCAACAGATGTTGCCACCAAATTCCCTTTCCTTTCCATATGGGAAGTCTTATTACAGCAAGGATAGGGCATAGAGAAGGACAGCTACTGCCTACACAATCCAGAACACAGCCCTGTTCACTCCCTCCCTAAATACTGCTACAGAAGCAACAAAACAACCTGGATGTCTGGATTAGGTGGCAACCAGTATCTGGAGGTGATGTTTAGCTGTTAAGAGAGGTTGCCACTTCACAGAATCAGAGAACTGTTGAGGCTGGAAGAGGCATCTGGAGATCATCTAGTTCAAACACTGCTCAAAGCAGGGTCAACAGGGAGTGCAGGGCCCTATCCAGTTGAGTTTTAAATATATCTCAGGATAGAGACTCCCCAACATCTCTCAGCAAACTGTTCCAGTATTTGACTGCTCTGACAGTAAAAAAGATTTTTTTTCTGATGTTTAGGTGTTTGAGCTGCTATTCTTAATCATCTCCTAGAGAGAGGCAGAAGGCTGAACAGGAGAGTCTCTTGGACCAGATTTGGCTCACAAACTGCCAAATAGACTGTGCTGAGTTTAAGAGTAAAGGCCATAAAACTTTGACTAGTCTTAGAAGCATTCCTGGTGGTTTTCATACCATTTGGCAGAATGAAGTGCACATTCCAAAATCCCCACTATCTGGGGATTTTTTTCTCTGGCGTTGTGTCTTTTTTCAGACACCTCTTGCAAGATGAAGCTGGGGACCCAAGTTGCAATAAGACTTTACTGCTGGATTATCTCAGGGTTCCACATGACTGATCATTCTTTAAACTAAATCTGTGTTTTTATTTATCTCCTGGGACAGGAAAACATCCTTTGACATATTGTTGTTCATAAGCTATGGCACAAGCGCATCAAAATACAGACAATACCCACATGGCTTGCATATGTCTCTAAACAGTGTTGAAGATGGAGAACTGTGCTTCAACTGACAGGAACAGGGAGCCAAGAGGAAATGGTAGCATTGCATGAAAACCTACCAGGGTAGTACAGTCATGCACCTTACTACTGCAGATGTAAAAGAGGCTTGCCACTCATTCTGAAAAAAAGTTCCACAGTGCAGTTTTCTTCATATAAATTTAACTAAAGAGTGAAGTCATCAATGTTAGGTATGGCAAGCTGCCTCTGATGTCCTTCCATTCTAGGATTTTAAAATAATACTAAAATAGAATACAGAAGTCTTCTGAGGTTTGCACATCTCTACATGTTGCTCATGACTGTTAACATGGCTATATTGGCTACATTAGCTCTAGTGCTGCGTCCTCCTCTTCGCTATCCACTACTTCTCTCCTCCCTGGCTTTATGAAAGTAGCCACCTGATAAGCAGTGATGGTGGGTAAGAAACTAGGAACTCCACCTAAACAAAAGCTGTGTTTGGCAATAACTGAAGCTCTATCAGCTGCTAATCCTAGCAACCAAAACCTCAAAAGTACAATGACCAGAAAGCGAGGGAAATACAGGGAAACTCTTTTGCGTTTCCTGCTACTTTCACATCCCTTACAGCATTTCATTAGGCTTTGACCATCATTTCCAACAGATACCAAGCAGTAACATATCCCAGGTTCTTCAAACTTGCACGGTACCAAAGAGTAGCAGTAGCACAGTAGCAGCCTCATAGGCTCTTATATTATCAGCTCCAAGTTGCTCACATTACCCAAACTTCAGAAAGAGTACTTTGCGTTACTGTTGTTGAAGTGGCTGTTAGGACTTGGTAGTTTCGCTAGTTATTGGAAATTAAAATAAAATTTATTTACACTATTAAAGCACTGTAAAAGCAAAGGATGCTGAAGGCCTTCCCCTAAACTTCTAATTCACATAACTTTGGGATAGATTGTTTAAGCTAATTGTCACCAAAGTAAATCTGCTGTGTTTATCTCCTCTGTTATCTTACTCAGAGATACAGGGTGAGGAAATGGAGCAGGCGAAGATAAATTTCTTTGGCCCACTTATAGCTGTGATTATACTGCTCACGCTTCTTTTGGGTGTTGTGATATTGAAGAAGAACAGAAATAACTCATCTGCAAACCAGGGTAAGTTATTACTTCTCAGCTTCAGCTCTACTGTTCCTCAAGTCACAGGCTTTGTTCTTTGTAATCATCGCTTTACCTACATTCAAGCTGCTGACAGAAAGTTAAATTTCATGCTGAACTTAAGCTAAACTTCCTTGGACAATTTAGTTCCTGCAACAACTTAGTCCATCCAGAGGTAAGTAAAACCATCTTTCTCCTGGGATCCACTTCTCCCTCTTCTTTGTGCTTTGTGAAGCTGCCATGGCACCAGCTTACCACTTTTTCCTGCAGTTTCATCCTTTTTTTTCTGGTTTATTGGTAGATTTGGCTCCTAAAATGATTGAACTGTATAAGCCTTTCTTGTCCATCACCATTTATAAGAAAGGTGGAGCTGGGTGAGGGACGAGATGAGGCTTCCATCGAGTGCCTCTGTCATCACAGAGCTGAAGGATCCAAGGCATTGTTCCACCACAGGCTGACCAACACTGGACTGGAAGAATCATCTTGTACTAGGAACATAATTTGATCTTTGCATTGCATTCTCTATTTTGTTCCAACACTAGGTCTCAGCAGTCCAGGGTTCATTCTGCACTGAAAGGATCCTCATGCTGACATCAAAGTCTATCCTTCCTTGTAGCAAGAGGGAAATGCATTCCTCACAGTCAGACCTGTTTCCTTACACAACCAAGGGTCCTGAGCCCCACCTCATTCTTTCTCCAAATCCTAAGATAACTGGACATTTATTATCAACCCTTTTCCAGCTCCCATTTCTCACATTTCTGTAAATCAAAAATTAATCTATTTCAGGTGTCAGTCTAGCAGTCTAGAGGTTATCCAGCTTGAAACTGAGTCCATCAGCCAGACAGCTGACTGGGAACCATCTCTGTACACAGCAAGGCCTGAGGTCCCATGTTCTTGAATGGTCTGCCAGAACAAGAATCCTCCCCAGATACCCTATAAAACAACATGCAACATTTTTGTCTGATGGCTGAAATCCACTGTCCAGTGTTCTCTGCTTTTATTTTTGCTCCAGAATGGTACTAAATATGATGCTCTGCCTGTCTGCATGACTATCTTTTTGCTGTATCTTTCATCATGCACTGTGATATCGTAAAATCCTGAGAGTCAATGACGAAAGCAGAGCTGTGCAGGTTACAGAAGGGAATGTCTCAGAAGTAGAAAGAGTTAGGCCACAATCTGTGAATCATAACCATCACTGGAAACATGATCCAAGACAGGCTATTAATCATGAGCCATAAACACTTTTGGTAGAGCCAGTGTGGCTTTGTTCCAGTAAATTTCTTGTAAAGCTGCGCAGCAGAAAGAGGAAATTTAGGGTACTCCCCCACCTTCTGAAGAAAGTCACGCAATTCCTGTCAGGCATTTGAAGCTAGAAGTCACCTGAAGGAAAGACTTGCTTTAAACATAATTTCTGGTTATCTTAGGTTTTTTTTTTCACTATCATCCAAGCTTTATACACCCAGACAGTTAGTACCTCCACACTTTGTTCCTCTGTATTCTGATCAGATGCAGTACTAGTTGTTCAGATGGATGCAGGGATAGAAAATGAATGCATGAAGTATCACTTATATGGGTATAAATCTAAATATAAAAAATTAAGCTAAGCAGAAAATGAAAAAATATATAAGTAGGTCATGTTTTAATTTGGCTATGTTCTCCCTTTCTAAATTTTGCTTCAAACCTTGAAGACAGAGCAAGCCATGCATTACGGTATGCTCAGCTATAGATGTAGTTTTACCTTTCAGAAAAGATTCTCCGTTTCACTCAAAATGTGCCAGTTCTCCCATCTTGAATGAACTCTGCACTTTATACTCCACAGCATTGACATCTTTCAGGAGGAAGAATGTAGCAGAATTGAGGCAAAATTCTTCTGAGGTCTTGATTGTGTTTGTAGGTTTGACATTTTCAGCAAGAGGAGGGACATTTCAGCTCAGACTTGCAGTCTGGGAACACAAATTCTCTAGCTTCTGCTGGGTACAAATGTGGGGGGTTTTCTGTTAAAAGATGTTGTGAGTTGCTAGATTCCACCTCAAATTTTACTCCATTTTCAAGTGTGTAAGAGAATGTGCCTGTCCTTTTGAATTAGCTAAACCATTTGGAAGTCAGTTATTAAGCTATTACACTAACATTCCAAATATTTTCATTCAGATTAATATCATTCAAATTATATTAAAAGTTAAAGGTTTTATTTTTATGTAAAAGTTTATATTTGCTAGCATAGTTTATATTATTTAATGATTTATTAAAATACATGTCTTTTTCTGTGTTGGTGTTTTATTCTCCTGCCATTAAAGCAGTGTATTGAGGAATACCTACATTCGGTGTTCTTGGGGAGAGAACACTCTCAGAATTATTTCTTGAAAGCAAAATGAAAAAAGGTATTGCTGCAATGACCAAGAATGGTACAACTGAAGGTTTCATGTGTTCATTCGTAGAGCTGGATGTATGTGCACAACTCTGTGTACGCATACCTCCTTGATTTGTTGACCTATACACCTCCAAGATTAGATACAAAATTCCAGTCTGAAAATTTGGCCTTTTGTTTCTATGATGCAGGTTGTCAAATATGTCTCCAGTGGGCTACCCAATCTTCTCTAACTCTTGATTAACATTTGGTTCCTTAAATAAAGCATGTGTTAAACTGTCAGATATGCTAAATCAGGTAGATGCTCACTAGATTTGTGTTATCTCTTGCTTTTTTTAACACATGCTGTAATTCAGTTCATTTTTTTTTCAACATTTTCCCTTCCCACTCAAGTCATCCACCTCAATTCCTAACATTGAGATTGTCAAAACAGCAGCTAAACCCTACTTTGCTCCTGTCCAAACAACAAGCTTTGTGGGTCTTTTGCCTTCCATATGACTAGACTCATGCACGTACACATGCACTCTTGAACTCACAGTCTCGGAAGTCTCTTACTAGTCCCTAAATCTTGATGTGCTGCTTATGTGGTCAGCTTTACGCACCGAGGAAAAAGACCATCACCAACCTTTCATGTTTGTCCATAGGCAAAAAAAATAACCAGTTCCTCCACAATGGATAAAGTATCTGGAAATATATGCTAGGACTCAAGAGTCCTTCTCTAGTATATTCACTTAGCAGAAAAAAATAATTCTGAGCACTTGGAAATGCAATAGTTTTTGCAACATGTCTTAGTACCTTCACCCTGATACACTGTCTACTGTCACTATCGGCAGCTGTAACTGTGGAAGAAGTCACATGGTGGGTTCAGTGTATCTTTCAACAACTCCCTTCTATCCTTATTTTGTTCCTAATTAGTGAAGTTGTTTGTTTTCCCCCCTTGCCATCCCTCTACTTTAGGCTGCCAACCTCCTTCTATTACCTGATCAATTTCTCAACCTCTTTTCTTGTCCTGAAAAGCAACTCTAATTCCCTTCTGCAGCTAAAGACAGTTAAGGGGGAAAACGCAGATGGGCTTCAGGGAAAATCTTAGTTTGTCTCTATCTGTTCAAATGCATTAAGCCTCTGCACTAGCACGTGTAGTGAACACAGTAGCAAGGCACAAGAAAAACGCAGCTGATATGCTGGCATTTTTGTCCTCCGTATGAATACATTCAGATTTCCAGGCTATCTCCTCACCCACTCTGCAGTTTTTTCTTCGACAGCATGCTTTCAGTCATTTAGTGACTCTATAAACATGGCAAGCAAACAAATGAGCATATGCCCACTACATACCACAGCAAGTAACAGCTTCACTTAAAAACACCATTCCTTTATTTTTAGGCATAACATTATGAATTTCAGAAAATGCTAACAAAGAAATGGAAACAGTGTGTTAAACCAGTGTCCAGTGCCCTACAGTAAAATCCTGTCATCAAACTTACAGATGTGACAGATTGCTTCAGGTTCACTGATTAACCAGCACTGAATCACAGAATAGCTGAGGTTGGAATGGACCTAGGGAGATTGTCCTGTTCAACCCCCTTGTTCAAGCAGGATCACCTGGAGTAAGTTGCCCGGGGCCATGTCCATGTAGCTTCTGAATATCTCTGAGGAGGGAAACTCCACGACCTATCTGGGCAACCTGCTCCAGGGCTCAGTCACCCTTCACAGTAAAAAAGGGTTCCCTTGTGTTCAGAGGGAACCTCGCTGGTTTCAGTTTGTGCCCATTGCCTCTGGTCCTGTCACTGGGCACCACTAAAGAGAGCCTGGCTCAGTCTTTTTTGCACCCTCCCTTCGGGCATTTATATACACTGATGAGACCTCCCTGAGGGTTCTCTCCTCCAGACTGAACAGTCCCAGCTCACTCAGCCTTTCCACAGATTAAAGATGCTCCAGTCCCTTAATCATCTTTGTGGTCCTTCCCTGGACACTCTCCAGTATGTTGATGTCTCTCTTGTACTGGGGAACCCAGAACTGGACACAGGACTCCAGGTGGGAACTCACGAGTGCTGAGTAGAGGGGGAGGATCACCTCCCTCCTCCTGCTGGCAATGCTTTCCCTGATACAACCCACATACTGTTAGCCTTCTTTGCCATGAGGGCGCACTGCTGCCTCATCTTCAACTTGTCCATTAGGCCATCCATGTCCTTTTCTGCAAAGCTGCTTTCCAGATGGTTTGCCCCAGCCTGTACTGATGCATGGGGTTACATCTCCCAAGGTGCAGAACTTTGAATTTCCCTTTGTTGAGGTTCTCTGCTTGTTTCTCCAGCCTCTTGAGACCCCTCCGGATGGCAGCTCAACCCTCTGATGTGCCACTGCTCCCAGTTTTTTATTATCTTTAAAACTGCTGAGAGTACATTGGCTCCCATCATCCAGACTGTTAGTAAAAAGGGAAGTCAGTTAGTTTTGCTGCAGATTTCTTAATGTCCACCAGTGCTACTGCAACAAGCAATGCTTTCCAATGGTTAACATGTGAGGGGACAGTGTAGTGTTCCATTTCCAGAATATTCCACAGTCATTTCTGAGTGGATTGTCATTAGCAAACCATCTCACGGCAAACATCCCTTAGTGGACTTTTTTCCTCTTCAGGTAAATTATTTGCTACTGGAGGTTACGTTTGACCACAGAAATATGACAATTTTATTAAAGAAATCCAGTTCTTGTGTGTATTACCTCTAAGTTTTGGTTTCAAATTCTTTGTCCCTCCTTTCCAAACTGAGGAGGAAAAAAGAAAAAAAAAAATTGAATATGAAATACTTATCTACACTGCAATGCTGGGCTATCATAATTCATAACTGGTCTTTCTTCACTTTCCCATCTTCTGCACTGGGAGGGAGATAATGCTGGGGCAGTGAAGGGTCTGAGGAAGACATGCTTTCCGATCTCAGGATAAGCTACCAGAGGGTTCTCAAGAGAAAAAATACAATTAGGCAGGAAAGCCGGTGAAAGAAGAGGAAGAGAAAGAGAGGGGCGAAATGGATCAGGGCCAAGAAACCATAAGGAAAAGAGTGACACATCAGGGTGGCTTGCAACCGGCAGAGCACATGCATCAAGCACAGAGCCTAGGCACAAGCCCCTGCTTCACAGACCCCAGGAAATAAAAGGTTCTGGCACCTCTCTGCCCATTGCCTTCTGGGGAAGGCTACTCCCCAGCCAGCAGCAGTGCCACTAGCAAGGACAGCTTCTGCACAGAAGTTGGGAAATCTAGAATATTCTTACAGTCCTTGACTTGTGAATTTTATGGCAGACATGCAAGATGAAATTTTCCTGCACTTGGTGTATGCTTGATGCTAAGACCTGCATTCCTTTTGTCCACTGCTTTTCTTAATATAGCTCTTAAAGCAAAATTTCATGAAAATTAACAAAATTACGCCTAGCCACCCATTCCTAATAAGCAGTGCTTATTATTTCAG